ATATTGGAGTTTATTCATTTCATCAAAAAAAGTACAAAATGCATACAACAAAACTGCAAATAAAATGAAAGGCTGCAGAAGAAAAAAAAATCTTATACCTTCTCACATTTACAAAAAAGTATACTGAATTAATTTCAAACAATAATAAACCAAATAAAGCAAAAACAAATATTCTACTCCTCAAACAGTAACTCATACAAATACAAATTAAACAATTATATCTTGCCGTTGACAAAGGACAAATCCAACAAGTCCGCTGCTGATTTTACAAGCCTACCACAGACCAGAAAATGTCTCATAAAAAAGAAAAAAATGAGATGGATATTTATGAGCAAGGGGAAAATAAAGTTTTGAACAAAAGCACTGTAGAAACTGACAAAAGAAGCACCCATGTTAAACTGTTATCTTCCTTAAAAGGACAGTGTTATGAGCTTTTTGTTTTTCAGATTGACTAATAATTTAGATTCATCTTGTCCTGACATTTAAGGTCTCAGCGTAGTCGTTCCAAAYGAAATGTTTTGTAAGTGATCTCAAAGTGTTTGTTTTTCATAAGCTCGCCAGGCTTGAGCACAAGACTGAAACTAAAAATACGCCTCCGCATTTTTAGTAACGCTGCTGATTCTCACCGGCTCATTTCAGAATGATCTCAGGTGTTGTTAGCTCTTTGTGATGTTACTGTCTCACTATGTTTTTTTTTCTCTCTCTCTCTCTCTCTCTCTTCACCCCCTTAGGAGCAATATGAGCTGTACTGTGAGATGGGCTCCACTTTCCAGCTTTGTAAGATCTGTGCTGAGAATGACAAGGATGTGAAGATCGAGCCCTGCGGTCATCTCATGTGCACCTCCTGTCTCACTGCCTGGCAGGTATGAGAGTGGGTGGAAACAAGYGTTCACACTTTGGTTAGATGTCAGAACTTGCATCTGTATTGTTGTGAAGTGGACTTRCTGAGGAGCTTCTTTATGCACATCTACATGTCGTCAACCTGTATTTCTACCTGTGTTACAGGAGTCAGAGGGTCAGGGAACGGGATGTCCCTTTTGTCGCTGTGAAATTAAAGGTACAGAGCCCATTGTTGTTGATCCTTTCGACCCCAAGGACAACAGCGGAGGCTCGTCTCGATGCATCATGGGGGCTGAGGGCGCACCGTCGCCCAGCTATGATGACGAYGATGATGACAGACTTGAAGACCCCCACCTGGTGATGAGTAATCTTGCAAAGGTAAGATTGTGAAGAACCTTKACTCAAATATTTTCACTGCACTGTGGGGCCTAACAGCCAGGGCACAACCCAGGTTTTTTTAATTAATTTTTTACTGTCCTCTTCTTTTTATCCTAGCCTTTTTTAGACTCATTTTTTGTACAGATAAAATGCCCCCCACCTCACCTTTCTTTTTTTCCTCCTGATATTCTTGTTTTTTTAGTGTCTTTCATCTCAATCTTTCATGATGTCAGCTTTTTTCATCTTCTTGGCTTTTGATATCCGAGGCATTCTCCTATCTTGCATCTTTTATGTGCCTCTGAGCCGGTCTGTATGCATTATTCTGAAAATAAGTGAATACCTGAGATCACTCACACTTTGAAGTGTGTCCCTGGAACTTTCTTACTGCTGACCCAGTCCCTTTGACAATTTTTTAACATGTGCTTACAGTCATCTTCGTTTTGTACAAAATAATCTGTGGAAAAAATAATGGTAGATAATTAATCATAAAAACATTTTTAAAATGGGTTATGGTTGGAAATATTTTTGTCATAGAATTTTGCATGTGTTCATTTGATACAGGTGGACCGCCCCCCGTCGCCCATGTCCATGCCTCCTCAGTCATCTCTTCCCCCAGTGCCTCCCAGACTTGACTTATTACCACACAGACCTTCACCGAACCCCACTGGTGCGTCCAGTCCAGTGGTCAGCAGCAAGGTCAGCATCTTTATTTGCATCATAGACAAATTAAAATTGTCTTTGATTTTTGTCTCTAAGTCATTAGGATATTAAAAAAATCCCTCTGTTTTATTCCTCCAGGCACCGTCTCACCACAAAGACAAACCTCTTCCTCTTCCTCCTGGACTGCGGGATCTTCCCCCTCCTCCTCCCCCAGACAGACCCCACACGGTCGGAGCGGTCCCTGATGCCCGACTCCAGAGACGGCCCTTACCCAGCACTCCGGGGGAGCCCCCTCGAGATAAACTCCCTCCCACACCCCCAAACCGTCCCGTGTCTGACTGGAACTCCAGGCCTGTTCCCAAGGCCCCCACCTCCTCCTCTTCCTCATCGTCATCATGCTCTTCATCCACACAAGTTTCCAGCCTGGGAGGGGACATCCGAGCAGGTGTCAGGGAACTATCCAACAGACACTCCCTCCCCTTGGCACTGCCCTCTGCTATGGACACCCGCTCAGACTCCCAGAAGAACAACAGCTCTCTCAGTCTGGACCACCAGCTGGTCAGAACCACCACAACACACACACAACACACTAAACATGCAATTCACTGGTTTCACTGAGTCCAACGCTGAGATTAGTATAAACTAAGGGTGTCCCGATACAACTTTTTCACTTCYGATACGATACTGATGTTGACCCATTACCATATCAGTACAAGTCAGACACTTTTACCTATTTTGTAGTGTGAAATCTTAGAAAAGTCTTGATCAAGTCAAACWGTGAAAAAGARTAGGTATGAGGAAAAACTGACCYATTGGTTTTTAACCAATGGATCACATACATTTTAAACTGAAGAACATTCTACAGTTTAATAAATAAAATAACTTACAATACCCTGAAAAATATAACAAAATAAAAACAAAATGTACTTTTAAAGTGTAAAATAATTCAAAATCACTCCAGTTATTTTATTTTTTTTTACTATCTGTCGGCCTTTTCTGCTTTATGGTGGGAAAAACTGAAGTTGGGGACAAAACCAAACCCCACATTATTGTCCAATGTCCAACTGTGTTCAAAGTTGAGTYCACAGCTCCAATTTTACTGACTGTGCCCAAAACAACGTGATCATTGCATCATCATCGTATTTCTTAAATTTAAGATTATGAAGGAAGGAATAAACAGTTTTTTWAAATATTTGTTACAGCATTATTTACATATTCAGACTTAATTGATACTTGATAAATTATATTTTTATGTGTTCAAAATCAAAGGCCTAAATTGGAAGGAATAAACAGTTTTTTTAAATATTTGTTACAGCATTATTTACATATTCAGACTTAATTGATACTTGATAAATTATATTTTTATATGTTCAAAATCAAAGGCCTAAATTTATTTGAGCAAACATTTTTTTATCGTATGTTTGGAATCACTTTCAACCAATGATTGCTTTGGATTTGGTAGGCATAAACCTAAATGTTTTCTTACTTTCTTTTGATACTACAATTGTTCCTGGTGTTTGGATTTTGTTTTTATGAATCTTTATTTTGTTAGTTTTACGTTCAGCGTGTGAAATGTAGCTGTGTTGGGCTGAAAATTGATTAACTCACAGTTGAGGAATATTCTGCTTTATTCTCAAACCTCCTGTGTTGCTTTTACAGTTTGTAGTCTTTTGCTTTATGAAGTTGATCCGTGCTTAAAAGCGTGTGATCAACCTGTATCTTAATGTGAATAATTAGGCCTTTATCTTCTCACTTCATTTGTTTTCATATCAGAAAGAAACCGCCTGTCGACTTGGCTGCTCTTAGTTTCTAATTATCTCTGATGGTTTTGTTTTGCAACCCAAGGATGGGCTGTTAAGCTTCACGAGAAGAGCTCCTTTTTTTTCAGATGCTGTGTGATCACAGTAAACAGCTCCCAAATATAAGGTTTGTACTTTGTCAATTAAGCAGGGACTGTAAAGGTTGATAAATTAATAATTAAGGATGTTTTTATGAAACATCATTTGGAGTCAACCATGCAGTTACATTAGTTTTCAGATTAAATGTAAGCATGAAGGAGCTGCAATTTCGAGATTAATCCTGAAATAATTTTTAAATAAGGTTTATATGAACACATTCATTATATAGTGGTGTAAATAATACATCGATCCATATGTCATCATATGCTCAGTGTGGATTGATATGTCCATCTAACAATCATGATTGTGTTATTTGATGATGTTGCATCATATTGATGACAGACCTGTGAGTTAAACTAAATGAAAATTGTATCGTGAAAGACTTTGTGATATTGAGAAACATCGTATTGTTGTCCAAAGACAAGGCTGGTCATTTGCACCCCTGATTTATTAACCTTTCCAAGTAGCTGTCAGCTTGGCTAAAGTTCAAAAGATCGAGTTCTTCTATTCTAGTAAAAAATAAATTAGTTGATGAACTTTCCTGTTCTTAATAGGGTTGGATAATATTGGCAAAAACATTCATCACAATTAATTATGGTATTTAGCCGATAACGATTAATTTGACGATTAATCCCCTGGAGTACCTGGACCACCGCCTGCCCTAGTCGCATGACCAATTTAATGGGAAAGGCTTGCGCTTCTTAAAAATCTGTTCCAAACTGTGTCAAAATTACAGGCTTCAGGCTTTACATCAATTTTTAAATTGTGGTGATAGATAAATAAATTATAGAAATTTTTCTTTTTAACGTTTGTCATAATTGAAGCGGAGAGGAGCACCGAGCGGACTGATGGTGKCATTAATTGTATTAATTGTCAAATGCCAAAAAGTAATCGATTAATGTTTTTCTGATGATTTATTGCACACGATACGATTATGCCCAACCCTAGTTCTTAATATACATTTTTATACATTTTTGAATCAAACTCGACCTGACCAGCTGCTTTAACCAGCTTCCAATCTTGATGCCATACAAGAATCCTGAAGAGCAAATATTCCGAAATGTAATTTTTTAAAATAAAATCTATATTTGAATGAAAAAGGATCTAAAGTGTCTGTATTTCTTTGGCTCCCAGATTTTTGCTGCAGTACCTGGTCCAGAATATGACAACCCCAAAGTGAAACCCTCCTCCTCAGCCAATGCCATCTATTCACTGGCAAACAGGTGTGTTCAACCGGTCCTGTGATGGACCTCAAAGAAATTTATTATGTTTTAAGAAGCGTTTTCTTAGTGTTGAATCTCCACATATATTACTTCATTCTTGGTTTGTTCTCAGACCGTCTCCAGTTTTGAGGCCAGTAACAGGAGAAGAGCCATGCGACAGTGAGGAGGACTCTGAATACATGATTCCCTCTTCTCGTCCCGTCGTGGCACCACCCACTGGGGAGCCTCTACCAGTGCCGAGACCCCCACAGTCTCAGCCTCTGTCAGCACTCCAGGCACAGGCCCAACCCTCTGCTCTCAACTCCCGGTATTTAAACTCCCAGTGAATCCACATCCAGCATATCAAGAAGATGGCGGCTTGTTTGTTTAAGGTTTAAGGCAACTCTATATTGTTTGTTGCTGTAGGCTGACACTAGCCGCTGAAGACGGACCTGTAAGTCATGAAGCCATGTACAACATCCAAGGCAGAGATTCAGGTATTTTATTTTAGCCCACTAACAACAGGTGAAGCCTGGCTGAACTAATTACTGTCGAGTTATTTTAGATTTAATCATGTCTCCTTCAGAATGAACCTTACTTTAACGAGTCAATATGAATATAGTGAGTGGTTTGAGGAGCCTCTGTTAAATACGTTTTGTAGTGCCGACTCATTGCCTTTCATCCTTCCAGGTTATTCAGAACTGCCCCCTCTGGTGATGGCGAACGGTCCCAGAGACCCTGTACTCGAGAACAAGGAGGATGAGGACGACGACGATRACGGCTACGACTTTCCAAAGCCCCTACATTTGCCCCCTGCACGACGGACCCTCTCAGAAATCGGAGGCTCTTTGTCCTCATCTTCCTCCTCATCATCATCATTCGTGTCCTCCACAGCTGCTTTCAATCGCCTTTCTCTAGATGTAGATGCTGGAGCTATGGCATGTAAGTTTGCTTCCTTATCCTCTTATATTCCCTGAGACAGACAGAGCAGGCCTTCTTTAATCTGGCTCTTTAGATTAAATTAGAAGAAATGTTTTGCTTGTTGCCAGTCAAAGAAATCAGAATCATTCTAAACTGGTATTATAAAGTAAAAGCTTCGCAAAAATCAGTAATTCAAATCAGCTTTGAAATCTGCAGTCGGTACGTTTCTAATTAGAACTGTTAGTTTGGGGGTCTTGCTCTTAATATTGGTTTGTTGTAGAATATTTTCCCGTTGTGTTTGAACTGGATTAGTAGAAGAGTGATTCTGAGTCCTTTGCTGACATTTGAGCCTTTATAAAGCCTCCTTGAAGTACCAGTTACCATGCAGGAAGTAGCTGTTTGTTCATGAGATGATGATGTCCTCGTGTCTGTATCAGGCTGACATTTACCAAAGATGATTGCTGGGTGTGTGAGCATTTTGCTAAAGACAGTCGTTGTGTCTGAGAGCCAATTAAATCACTCTGCATCAAGCTGACAAGCTCACGGATTATAATTGGCTTCTTGCGGTGCTTTGTTAAATGTCACTACAATGGAAAGCTGAAAGGTTTCACAGCACACGACAGGAAAAAAAACATGTAGCTTTCCTCAGGCCTGGTTAGAGTCATCAACGTATTTTATATTGGTTATGTCCAGTTAAAGAAACCATCTCTCAGGATGACCTTTTGAGTGTTTAAATTAATGATTAAATAAAAAAGTCCTGTTTCGGAGTTAAACTGAAACACTTGCTCTTCCTTTTCCCCCCCTCAGCCTTCTTGGAACCGTCAGAAGCAGCACCAGAGAGACCTCCAAAGCCTCTGCCGAGGCGGATCAACTCGGAGCGCCGCCACAGCCCCGTCCCACCCGTTCCCCCCAGCGCCGCGTCGGCGGGAGGAGACGCCAACCCCCAGATCAGCAGTGAGATCGAGCACCTCATGAATCAGGGATACTCGTACCAGGACATCCAGAAAGCCCTGATGATCGCACAGAACAACATAGAAATGGCCAAGAATATCCTGCGTGAGTTCGTCTCGGTTCCCTCCGCGCACATCCTCACATAGCACATCATGGTGCCTCCGTCTCACGCCCGCTCTCGCCCTAGCTTGGCTCGGCCTGGTTCGGTTTCGGTTGGCACAGACCAACCCAGAGCCCACCGACTCCAGCGCCGGCTCCGGTGTTGGCAGACACCCTTTGCCACCCCCCAACGCGCTGTGAATTTTTTAAACTGGCTCTTACTCCAGCAATCTCACAGCATCTCTGGGACTCTACGCCCTGCACTCCATGCGCTTTCAACTGCATTTGACCTTCGTTTTTTTTTTTTGTTTGTTTGTTTGTTTTTTTGCTACAGCAGGCCTCTTCGGTTTCAGTTGCATCTCCTCTGTACTGAACAAACGCGTGTGGAAAAGCACGCAGCGCAAAACCTTCATAGGAATCCTGGGAAAACAGATTCAGATTTTTCATGTCAAAGCCTCTTGCTGAAAATGTAACCAACACCTCACAAAGAGAACTAAAAGTGTATGTCTATATGAAAATTTAATATATAAGTAAATATATAGTAAATGTGTGTAATATATACAGTACGTGCATATACAATATGTGAAAATGATTCAGCTTGAAGGGTTTCCTTTGGTACAACTAAATGAGTAAGACCGGAGTCAGATTACAAGCAGGGTTTGTCTCTTTCTGCCTGATGGAGGAAGGAAGAGTTCAGGTGTCTACTCACCAGGATGTTATAGTCAGCAGCAGCTTGAAAAAACAAAAACATGCAGCAAAGCTTTTTTTTTTTCCTTTTTTTTCATAAATTCATTCTGAAATGGCCTTTGATTAACAATATTTTGGTACTTTTTTTATTTTGAAAACCAGCTTGTTTTGTGGTGTTTTTGTATTCCAGCGTAGCATGACGATGGTTTCAGGTCTGAAAGCATTTCTGACTGGTTGTGTGCATTACTCGTGTACGTGGGCATGCTTGTGTGTGAGCTTCAGACCTGCTTCTCACGACCCCGCCCCCCACGCCCTGCACAACATGAATGTGGGATTGCAGTCGGGCGTCCTCGGACTCGCGTTCCACAAACGTACTACTGCTCTACGTTGTAAAGGCAGGGCCTTGTGTAGCTGTAGAGCCCGGCAGTGAGATTATTAGACGTTTTAATGTTGGCGACCCTGCAGTACCCTGCATGGTCCGTGGTGGCTGAAAAGGTTAGTTTTGTTTTGTTTTCGTTGTCTGCATTCATTGGCTGGTTCAGTTTTTTCTGTTTCCATCTCAGTCCGGTGTTACGCAACAAACAAAAAAAGTCATTGATTTTCTTTAATATATTATTGTTATATGATCATAAATATTATTATAATTAATTCAGAAGTGTTTCACTGCTGCTACTCTTGTTAGTGCTAAACAATTAAAGCCTTAAATGTACATTTGTGAATAGTGTTTTAACGGTGTTTCTTTAAAGTGACAGTATCATTTGTTTTTCCAGTCCATTATGTAGCATACTTGAAAAAGAAAAGCAGCTCTCRAGCTGTTGACTCGTTAGTGTTTAAACCTTTTTTTTTTTTATCATTTCTATTGATGAAATCATAATAGTGTGGAGCTCACCAGGTGCCGTGGGTCAAAATAAAAACAGAAGTTTTAAAAATCTGGTTCCTCAGTTGAAGAAATGGTACACCTTTAATAGTCTGGTGGCTTTTGAAGTGCTGTTCTGTCTGAAGTTGGTAACCTATGAGCCGTGACATCAGTCAGTCATGAAGCACAAAGCTTGTAGAAAAGAAAGAATCTTCCTCCGGGCTCGGCAGGACTCCTATTATAGTTTATTTTAAGCTTATGAAATGACGCATTCTCAAAAATATTTCATTTTGAGGTATAAAATTGTTTCTAAAATTGAAAAACGACAAGCAGGACCTCAGTTTGACAAGTCGTGTAGCATAGGATATGGCTGATGAGATGCTAATAACTATTTGACAGAACATCACTTCAAAAATCAYCAGACTGTGCCWTTAAATCTGCAAAAATRTTAGTGTTTTTRTGTGTCAGSTTTAGCTTGACTTTCAATGTGAACAGAAACCGAAGTAACCTGGCTAAAATGATCAATAAGATGTTCACTGAAAGACTTASTCCAGCAGGTAAAATACAGACATGCAGGTTGTATCTGTTCTTTAGCGCTCAATTTTTTTTAAAAGCAGGTTTAAAAGCAAGAATTTCTGACCCCAAACTTGGACTCATTGCTTGTTCTCAATCTGAAGGTTTTGAACACATTTAATTCTCACAGATTACCTCAACTGCAGGGACAGATTTTCATGACCTCTTGTTTTTATCACAACCCTCGACCCCTCTGCTGTCTCTGTATTATAACAGCGAGAAAAGCAAACAAAATGCTTTGGGTGTTCAAAAGAATTCCGACTCACATCAGCTGCCTTTCCTCCTGTCTGAAAGGGACTGACTGCTGAGACTTGGTGTGACGTAGACTCACGGGTTAGCTGGTCCCACCCCAAAGTCTACAATAAAATCAGTATTTGGGCCAACTGTAAATATTAAAACAAAAACTAACTCAGGAATAATGTTTGTCTATTTAAGTAAAAAAGAAAGTGACATTTACCATACCTGTTAAAACCCAGAAGGGGCTCACTGGCTCCTTCAATCAGCTGTTCATCAGCTCATCCAGTTGACGTTTAAAACCAAAAGTACAGCGGGTAAAATAAGTATTGAACACATCACCATTTTTCTCAGTAAATACATTACTAGAGGTGCTAATGACATGAAATTTTCACCGGATGTCGGTAACAACCCAAGTGATCCATACATACAAAGAAATCA